CCACCAAAATATATTTAAAGTAGCATAAATAAATATGAACAGATTCAGATAGATTTGCTCTGAGAATTTACGTTATCGCGCAAAAGATAAAGAAGAGTTGCCAGTATATTCGAATTGAGGTTGGTTGAAAAAGCTCGGTCCGACCCACTTGCCAAAATCATAGTTTTTTTCAACGACTGCTTATTGATTATATAAAGATGCTGTTATTGGAAATGTTGTTACTGTATCCTTAGAAATTTAAATAAACGAAATAACAAAGCCGATTCTATATCAGGTTTTTCCTAGACGTGCCCTAAATGCAATCCATTGTTTGGTTTACATTTCATCACTTGAATCTCTTGCAAATAATGATTCTCATTCTTCCTCCTCTTTTCGTCTATCGAAATACTTATAAACAGCCTGGTGTACTAATGGCCATTGACTTATACTTCATCGCCAATCACAAAATACCGCTAATATATAATAAGTACGATAATAGAGCAATCATAACTCGATGTTTACATTTTCTCAGCTGAGCTTTATACTACTATTGTTTCAGCAACAACAGCATACACACACACACACACACACACACATATATATATATATATATATATATATATATATATATATATATATGTATGTATATATGGCACAACACCATCACTTGATAAGACACCAGAAGTGTTGGAATAAAATGGCTAAATAAATGGCGAATAAATAATTATATATATATGTAATATTTATTAATAATTATAACAAAAAACATGTTATAACTGTGAATAAATACTAAGCTCTACTCTGTATTGCGCAATTTTTATATAATGTTTGGACATTGAATTAACCTGCCTTACACTTATATATATATATATATATATATATATATATATATATATATATATATATATATATATATATATATGCACAAATAGGAAAGAACACGTTAGGTAAATAATCTGGAGTATTTTTTTTTTATTTTAAAAAACTGTACTCCATACGGAAGTAGAGCTTAAATTATAATTCGTCTTTAAAAAATATGATTCCTTCACTACATAAAAGTTCTCTTGTTTCAAAAACAAGAGACAAAAACCTCAATATAATTATTTAGGAATAACCAATCTTGAAATTTACGCATGTTCAGCAAAATTAATTACTACTGTGGCTCCATGCATGATTGGAAAACTGAAAGGAGATATTCATAAATATATGATTTATTTTTTTCGGTTTGTTAACCATTTGATAGTTATTTAGAGATGAAAAATATTTCGGAGTTGAGAATAATTCTCTAATTGCGTTCGGGCGATCGGGGAGAAAGAAAGAAAGGAGGAGGAAGGAAAAAGAGAGAAAAATAAATAATACGCAAACCAGGTCGTGAGCGAACACACACACGCTCGACTGGCACATATCAGATGTCAAAAATATTAGGTCAAGCCCATGACCTACTTTCGGTGTCCACGAAAGATGGGAGTTGTTATCAATTTGGCTGAAGAAATAAAATTTTAGGGACAATGAAAAAAAAAAATATTGATAAGTAACAAATGAAAAGGATGTCATTGAGATGATAGGTAACAGATGGGGAAGTGTATCTAAGGATATGAAAACAAAGCATTAATACAAGAACCCAGACGATTCCAGAATTGAAAGGAGGGCCACACAAGGTGATGTAGAAAATGCTTTTGAGATAATTAAGATTTTTGTTAACAAGCTCCGAGCGAAAGAAAAAGGTGAAATATTTGTATTAGCTCGCGACAACGCCACGCAGTCTAAGAAATTCCTTTCATAGATCGTATCCAATTAGCGGTAGGCTGTTTGACAGATACCACGTGTAAAAGGAACCGATAGCGTCATTCGATCACGTACGAAAAGGACAATTTAAATTTTGTTTTTTTTAAGCAAGGTGTTTCTTCCCCCAGAACAAAGCCACGGATTGTCCACGCCCGATTAGAGACGTCACGAAGGAAGGAGGAAAGATACCGACCAGAGTCTCATTGGCCGAGGGCGGTCACGTGATGTGCGAGGGAGGAGGAAAGATGCCCGACCAGGACCCCATTGGTCGAGAGCGGTCACCTGACATACGAGGGACCAGGGGAAGCGGGTATACGCCTCCCCCCAGAGGCACAGTAAGGAAGTAGGAGTGAAAGTAAGTTACCGATAATGGAAAATCCCTAATCAGAAATAATACGTCTTTAGAATTATCAAGAAAACCCTGGCGCCGACAGACCCACCCCAGTTTTTGACTGCCTCAATAAAAGCAGGACCCCAATCGACAGAAATCAGTTACAGTTACGCCGCGGACAGCGTGGGAGCTTGAGCGCGGGCGGCGGGCCCGGTTCATTAGTCCCCTTGCGGGCAAGAGAAGCCGAGGAGAAGAAGTTACAGTTGGGGTTGCGCCTCGGACGAAGTTAGAGTTGGAGTTGCAGCGCGGACGGCGGGCCCTGTTCATTAGTCCCCTTTGCGGCAAGAGAAGCCGAAGTGAAGCAGCCGTTTGGCCTAAGTGGAGAAGTTGGAATCAAACCAAGCCTAAGAAGAGAAATTCGTCCAACCCAAGTCGAAGTGAAGAAATTCGCCCAACCCAAGCCGAAGTGAATAAGCTCGTCCAACCGAAGCCGAAGAGAAGAAGTTAATTCCCGCACTGACGGCGAGGGAAATCAGCCGTGAACGACAGGTAGAGATCAGCGCCCAGTGTTAAAACCAAACCACAACCCGAAATGCAAATTTCTAGAGAGCAGGCAACTCGAAGCCTTAAAGTTGTGTGGTAGAATCTTGGTGCCACAGTCCACAAAACGGGTCGGGAGGTAGGAATAATCTTGTGTAACGAACATTTAGATATAAAAAGTTGTTACCTTTTTCTTCAATAATTTTTGACCTTGTGAGTTTTTTTCTTTTTCTTGTGTGTTATCACCCCCGTTGGACTCAGCTTGCATACGGCCCCGATCCCTGTTTGATCCCGTCTGTCTAAGATCTAATCACAACGTGGGTAGGCAGACCGGAGATCAGTGCAGTTACCCTAGTAACCAGGCGTTGGAAGCGAGTTGGGAACGACGAGGCTGGTATTCATCTAACCAAAGCGTTAGAACGTCACACTTGGAGCAGCGAGGAGCGGACAGCTGACGCCGCGGCAAAGACGTCACAACTGGTGTCGTGACCATAGGATCAGAACCCTGGACCACGTCACGTCACAGTTGGCGCCGCGAACGAGATCGAACGACACAGTCGACGCTGCGACCAGGGGGGACGACGTCACACTACGGAAGCGGCTGGAACGACCATTTTGATAAGGGATTTTAGTAATTTTATTGAGGTCTTTGGCTCTTGTTTTTGAAACATGAAAAGTCTTATATAGCGAAGGAATCATTTTTTTTTTAAATAATTATAATATATATATATATATATATATATATATATATATATGTGTGTGTGTGTGTGTGTGTGTGTGTGTTACTTATGGAATATATGTTACTTAACGGATGGATTGAGGAAAAGGGAAAACAAGAAAGAGTAACAAAGGTAAGCAGCACGTAACGTACTTCATGGGCTTCTGTAAATGGATAGTCGAACAGCGTCTGGTAGAAATAACAAAAAGACAAAACCTTTCTGAAGAATCTGGGAGGGACTTTTTATGAGTTTTTCAGTCTGAACAGATGAAAGATCGAAATAACAATGAAGGCTGTCTCTCACTTTGTTTCACTAATAAAATGACACTATTTTCAGGGTGGCCCTACTAAATGTGAATATGGGCTGATGGCTATGTCGCATTGAAACGCCAGGTCTTTTACAGCTATCAAGGTTAAGTAATGTCGGGCCTGGTCAGTACCTAGATGGGTGACCAGTTGGGAATACCAAGTGCTGTAAGATTGGGTGTGCAGGTGGTGTAATGGTTAACAACTCTGAATTGGAGATTCCAGTGGAGTTCTATTCACTTAGGCAGAAATCCTATTGGGAAAGGTAATGGTTGATGAGCTGGAAAAAAAATCTTGACAAAAATATGAATCCATCCTTTCTCTTCCTAGTTATGGGTTAATTAGCAGGATTTGTTAAATTTTTCGACGGATGTATTGTAATTTCAAATGTGTAACAATTCGTTGAAGAATGAAACGAGAAAATCACGACCGTTAAAAAAAAAAAGCGTAAACAACGAATGAAGAAAAGAAGAAATCAAAGAAAGCAAATAAGGAAAGGTTAAAATATATGTAGTAGTAGTGATGATGATGATGGTGATGGTGGTGGTGGTGGTAGTAGGAGGAGGTCGAGAGATGTGGAAGGAGAACATGAGAAACGAAAAAGGCGCAATTACGTGTAAA